CCACCAACCCCCCAAACCCTCCTGGGGAGGGAGCTGGCCCCAGGACCACCAACACCCCAAATCCTCCTGGGGATGGAGCTGGCCCCAGCACCCCAAAACCCTCCTGGAGATGGAGCTGGGCCCAGGACCACCAGCACCCCAAAACCCTCTGGGGATGGAGCTGACTCCAGCACCACCAACACCCCAAAACCCTCCTGGGGATGGAGCTGGACCTAGGACCACCAGCACCCCAAATCCTCCTAGAGATGAGCTGTTCCTGGGACCATCAGCACCCCAAATCCATACCTGGCTGGAAAGGACCAGTGCAGCAGTTCTCCCTTAGTCCAGGCCGGCTCTGGAGGATCCTCAAGTGCTGGGGACTCACCATCCCAGCACGGAGGCAGGAAGCGGGGCGCTCCTGCAGGTACCCGCTCTGGGGCTGGTGGATGTGCCGGGGCAGGATGCTCCTGCCATCAGGGAGCCAGAGGGGCTTAAAGTGCTCAGCGGTGGTGCTCATGGTGTCCTGGCAGTGGCTGCGGTGGGAAGCCACACGGATGTGATGGAGTGGCCCCAAAACTAGGCTCCTTTGTGCCCCCCCACCCCATAGCCAAAGGTACCTACCCCTCTGCTACGCTGTGGGGGCGCAGCAGGCAGGACATGGCTGAGCGGCTGTTGGTCACGTAGCCAGTGCCTGTGTGGTGGCCGAGCTGGGGATGGAAGCCTGGCTGGCCTGGGTGACAGCGAGCCCACCCCACTTTTAAGGAAGGTTTTGGGTCCCCCTACCATGAGCCACGGCATAGCTTGTGGCATAGAAGTCCATGAGGTCGGAGCTCCCCCCGGTGAGTGTCTTCTCCGAAGGGGACACAGCATCCAGCGCTGGGGCAGGCGGGTCCTGCCCCAGGGACCTCAGCTTGGTGAGGTGACAGACAAAGGGACAGGCAGCCTCCATGGCTGGGCTCTGCGGGAGAGCAGCTCCAAAGCTTGGAGCCTGCGGAATGCTCCTGTGGGAAGGGATGTTATGATGGGGACAGTGTCTCCTAGTAACAGCTCAGTAACGGCTGCTTGGGTTCCGCTGTCACCGTGATACCCCACTGAGGGCACCAGGGAGCAGGATCCCCCACTCCAACCTCCCCCAGGTCCTCCCAAAAAGGGTTTCAAAGGGGCAGGTAGGAGCTGGAGGCAGCAGTGAGCTGGCATGTGCTTGGAATGCCACCACCTCCCTCCTGAACACTGCCAAAGAGCAGAACCCTGAGCTCACAGTGCAGCGGGAGCAGCCACGGCTTTATTCAGCATGCCCTGAGAGTCCAGAGGAGCTGCTGGGGGAGGAAGAGGAGGAGGAGGAAGGCCACAGGGAGGGCAGCAGCATCACTGTTGCGAGTGGGGGTGCTCAAAGAGGTATTCCAGGTCTGGCTGTCGCAGCCTCTGCTCCTTCTTCTTGTTCTTGGCGAACTCCCGCAGCTTGGCCATCACCTCGCTCTCAAACTCCACTGGTGTGGGCTTTGCTTCTGGGGTACAAACAGAACAGGGCAGTAAAGGAAGGGCTGTGTCCTGCCCTGAAGCACCCACACTCACCCCACCAGCGCAGGCAGGGCAGGGCAGGGCAGGGCAGGAGGGAGCTGCTCGTACCTGTGGCCCAGTAGTAGATGTCCCAGTCGTTACGGGGCTCGTTGATGAGGCGGTCGTAGAGGTTCAGCTGGTGCTCACTCATGTGGTGCAGGTTCTCCTTTGCAAAGAGGCTGCAGAGAGGAAGGGTGAGGATGAGTGTGGAAGAGCCAGGGTGGCACCCAGCACGGTGCCAGAAGATATGAAGGAGCTGGACCAGAAGACCCCTCTCCATTAAACACTCCTCAAATCCCAAAACACAACTGGCCGTGCCTTGTTTGTACATCCCAAAGGATTACATACATCCTTCCCCAAGGATTTTGGCTCAGCTATCAGCTTCCTCACGTGCTTCCGGCTCTGCCCCATCCTGCCCTGCAGCACTGATCACTGCATCCAGCAGGGGCCAGAGCAAAGCTCTCGTGGTGATTTATCCAACTGCTCCTTCTATCCTCCAAGCAACATCTCATCTCCTGAGGTTTGGATTCCAGTTGCACACTAATTATCCCACCAAACTCTCCCCTGCAGTGCTCAGGGCTCTTCATAGACTCCTAGAATCAACCAGGTTGGGAAAGAGCTTCAAG